CCAAACAAGTTGATAAAAACTGTCGGAGACACGGCAAAGACAAAGACAATGCTACCGAACACACCGGCAGCCCAAACAAGTCAATAAAAATTGTCGGAAACACGGCAAATGCAAAGAAGATTACTACCGAACAAACCGACAGCCCAAACAAGTCACAGATAGCATCGAAAAACCCTTAGCAACATTTAAGATGATAAGGGAATACCCCAAAATAGGGGTCCGAACCAAGGAAGATAAATTAGGCTCTGATACCATGTTGAATTTTGGATGCGGAAATAAGAAATGCAAATAGGAAAAGGAAAGAGAGAAAAATGGAGAAACACAACCATATACAAGGTACAGCACTAAGGCCTACATCCATGGACAAAGAGCCACTAAGGCCTACATTTTTATTATTCAGATTTGTATATTGCTTAGTACAAAGAGCATATATGTAATACCCCGATATTTTAAAAAGGATTTATTAATTAAATTAATTTATATTATATTATTATTATTATTATTTTTAAATGATTTGTTTTATTTAATTAGGTGCTTGATAGTTGTGATTTGTTTTATTTAATTAAGTGCGTAGGTAAATTGTATTGTTTTAATTAAATTATATTTTGTAATTTTATTTGTTAAATTTATACGGTGTTTGATTTGTGGAATGCTAGTTAGTGAATTGTTTATTTGATTTGCGTGATTTTATGTTGGTGTAACTTTATTTAATTTCATTATGTTAGGTATTTAAGTTATTTGGATTGGGATTAAAGGAAGTTGGACCAACGGATGTGGTATTGGGCTTGAAGGAAGCCTTGTTGGGTTAATTGGTAAAGGCCCGTGGTTGTGAGGATATTTAATAATTATCTTTGCATAATTATACCTATATAATTACATGTGTATATTAATTCATTATTAAATCATGTGGAGGGGTATATATGTCAATATAATTATATATTGATATATATAGGTATATATAATTTATTTAACTAATGGTTATATATGGAAGGTAATATATATATATATTTACATTAAAATATATGTATGTATATATATTATTTAAAAGATAAATATTATTTATTTTATATGATAATAATCCTAATGGGAAAAGGATTTAGGTTTTTGGATGTGTATAAATAGACACATAAGACTTTAGGGTTAGGAGTTTTTCCACGTTAGAAAAATAAGAGAATTAGAGAGAGAAGAAGAAGGGCTAGCGAAGAGGAGGGCGGATCAAAGAACGTAAGAGGAGACCAAATTTGGAAAAGAAAAGGCGAGTTCTTCTCTACTTCTCCTCTTAGAACTCATAAACTTATCACCTTGATTATCGAAATTATAATTTTATTTTATTAAATTAAATTATTATTCAGATTGGAGGAGCATATTTATTCTTTACAAAATTATAGAATTAAACATGTGAATATATGTATGCATTGTTCTGATAATTTAGATCTTGTATGTGAGGTTAGGTTAAGTTAATTAAATTTTATTTTTTTTTAAATTTTTATATCTTGCGTTAACCTTGTGTAGCACGATTAATTAAATTAAATGGATTTTAATTTAATTGTATATGTTCATTTATGCCCAAAATAATAAATAAATCTTTTGGAATTTTCTGAGTTTTTTTTTAAAATTTTCTGGAATTAATTTATATTTTTAATGTTATTATAGAAATTATTTATATATACTGTTATATATAGAAATATGTTAAATTGTTTAACATATGACATTACTGGAGGCGGCTGTAGCAAATAGGGTGTGCAATCCAGTGTGGTGCGGCTTAGAGTAAGTTGGTGTAGCACTGATCTGGGCCATGGGTTAAGTTGATGAGTGATTAGAATAATCCTATGCTTCGCGGTGCATGGAGGGATGGTGCACTTGAGCATCTAGACCATTCATTAGGTCTGGTCAAAGGAGGGATTATCCAGTGTAGCGCGGCGTACCAAATCAACCAACAGCAACCAATTAGGAGCTGCCAACACGCGCCGAGAGTGGCTCAGGCGCGTGAGGGCGCGTGCAGGCGCGTGGACGCGCCTGCCGGTAAGGGGAAGCGCGTGGAGGCGCGTGGGAGTAGTCTAGGGGTATGTGGCGGCGCGTGAAGGCACGTGGGGATGCGTGTGAGGTCCTGGAAAGTTGCTTGAGACTCCGGTGAAGTTCCAGTATTTATCTTAAGCTTGTTAGGGTTAAAATTAATCATTAGAGGGTGTGTTCTTGATGTTCTGAGAGCCTCAGAGTGTTACTAAGATACCTAGTAGCATTTAGTGGTATAAATACAATTAATTAAATATTTTTGCAATGAAAGGAGGGTAGATATGATTTTAAATAGTCAACGATTGGTATGGAATGTATGATACACACATATATATATATTATAAAATATATGTGTATATATATATTATTTAAGATTATTAAATATTATAAATCTTGTTTGGTATGACTTGATTCGTGTATGGTATGGTTGATTTAAAAGCGTAATAGATACACGGTTATTAAATTAAGGACATGCTTATTATATGCATGTGAAGTCTATGTATAATTATACCTAGAGTTAAGTTTTAAGTTAGTACATGGTTGAATTGTAGGCATGGATGAGTTGCCAAAGGCTTTGATATACTGCCTTATTGGTTATGAATAAATTTCATATATGGGAAGCATGGTTGAATTGCTAATTAATTGTAAAAGTAAATATATTGAAGGAAGCATGGTTGAATTGCTAGTATATAAATAAATATATTTATAAATGGCATGGTTGATTTGCCGGTGCATATTTAAATCGCTATATGTGTAGATGACTAAATTACTGTTTAGGATGGAGTTAAGGTGAGTGGGGTTTACTTTATGAGAAAATTATAAAAAGGGGGGGCTTGGTCTAGGTATGACTAATAATTAATTATTGGTGAGTGGTTTTGACAATTTAATGCTCTATTAACAGATAGGATTCTTGTACTATATATATAAGGATTTATATATATATTGGTAGCATCGCATATTAAAGTTAAAGCTTAATTAGGGATGGTTTTGGTAAAGATGATCTGTTTATTGGTTTTCAGAGGCTTGGTAGAGAAAACTTGCTCGTAGGGTTTAACCCGCGATTTATTTTTCAGGTTGTTAGAAGGTCAAGTCTCAAGGTTGAGGATCCGCAGCTGGAGGACTTATCCATTCCTTCTATTTGCTTAAAAGTAGGATATTAGTTTTGTTTCAGTTGATATTAGTATTTATTTGGTTGAAATTCTAAATATTAACTTTTGGTTAAGGGGTCCTTGAGTTACGGGATTCCCGAGTTGTAACCATTTGGAAGTTATTAATGGATTTACTATTAATTGGATTTCTTCAGCGTTTTATTTTATTCTTTATTTCATTTTGTAATCCGTGCTTGTTTAAATACTATAATTGGTTTGATATTCCCTAATTTTGTGCGCGGACTTGATCAACCCGTGTTCCGAAATTAGGGGGTATCACAATATATATAGGCACGGTAAAGAAAAGAATATATGGAAGGTGTACAATATAGTCGAAGGAGGAACCGTGATTGGTGGAGGATTTTCCTCCACCATTATATAGAAATATTTATAGTTGGAAAAAAATTGACCGGATCTCCGTGATTGGTGGAGGATTTTGCTCCACAATTATATAGAAATATTTATATATTTCAACATTAATGGAAAATAAATCACATTCTTGGGCATTGGCTCATGAGGTAAAAGGGGTGGGATGTGGAAGTGGTAGGTCTATGTCCAAATCCTGCCTACAGAGTAAAATAAACAAAAGAAAAAGAAGAAAAAAGGTGGGAATTCCCATCAGTTACAATTCATTTTAGACACAATTACAACCAAGTCCAACTACTATATTAAAAGGTCCAATAATCATAAACTGCAAAACAAGATACGCAGAAGGGTATTTATGATATTCAAGTTTTTTGACATTAAACGACAAAGCTCAAACTGCATAAATAACATATGCAGCTACAAAGAAGAACTAATGAAACAGCCAGTAGTTTCAATAGGCATAGATGTAAACGTTTGAAGCTGCTGCTGCTTCTTTTTTTCAAAACAAAACAAAACAAAACAAAACTGTATCTTGTAAATTTGTAGTTCATTAAATCTGAAAACATATATGTTAAAAAGTAAAAATATTAGACAAGTTTATCTCTTTGTTCAGATTCATTTATTAAATCTGCAGTCAAAAGGAACCCTTCCTTCACCAGGGATGGGTAAAACACACTGATGAATTTCCCTTTCCAGTAACTTATTCAAATTGTAAATGGTTCCCACAGCCACATTTCATGCACTCAACATTCAAAGCTTTGGATGAGCTTTCAGAAATTTCCTGCATTTTAATTAAGTCTAATCAATTATGTTTAACATCAAGACATTTCAGTGTATGTCCCAATTCTGACTAATGTGATAAACTACCGATTTTTAACAACCAACATCGGCCAATTTTGTATAGCCTAAAATGGTTTTTTGGTGTAATTCCTGCATGCATGAAGATGGCAGAACATGTGAATGTTCAGGAACCGGGGAAAAATCCCCAGGATTCAACCAAGTCTCTTTTCACACAAAACTTATACAAGTTCCCTAGAACAATATATTAATTTCATGAATGTGGAAACGCCAAAAACTCCAGCATATAGAATTTACCAGCAGAGTGTGACAAATTACTGGAACAATTTATTTATTTCCTGAACATAGGAACACCAAAAACTCCAGCATTTACAATTTACTTGCTAGTATCATCCAGAACATGAGGCTTTCCTTCATAATAAAAAATTTAAAAAAGGTCATGAGGCACATGAAGGTCCAGAGAGAGACAAAAGTTCAATGATGTGTGGTCAACAATTAGAGCAAGTCATACCCTGTCCTTGAATAAGACTTCAAAAAGGTTTTCCTGCCTGCTAGTTACTTTTATACTAACAAAACTCAAAATGTTTTGAATTCAAACAAATTAACAGCCAAGAATTGAAACCAACAGGAAACAAAATGATAGAAATCTTTAGCTGATATAGCAAGAAAACATACCTTTACATTCATGTGGCCGGTGAATGATTGTAAAGGACTGTCAAGAACCTGGGATGTGCACATTGACAAATCCCAAAGCTTCAGTGTGTTATCCGTTGATGCAGAAACAATATTCGTTGAATCAATAAACTTGATGTAGCTCACAGTTTTGTTGTGTCCAATTAATGTACAGAGTGGCATCTTTGAGTTACGGAGGTCATAGTAATAAATTTTATGATCAGCTGAGCCAAATGCAAGAGAACGACCAGAATCCAGAGGGAACTGGACACAGCAGACATTGGCCTTCGTTTTGATGGTACCGACACTTACTCCCTGCAGTAGCAACCCATGTAAGAGAAACAACTTATTACACATCCAGATTTAAATCTACACAGCAATGGTAACTAGATGACTGCAGTACGTTTAGTTTCAAAGCTGACATCCACCAAGTGCAAAAATAGAATTGCCTGATTGATATTCCAGAGCTTAACAGAACCATCATCACTCCCGCTGGCCAACAATGTAGGATCTGCTAATGAGAAGTCGACGGACCACACACGTCTCTCATGCTCTCTCATTTCCATAAATACTTGACTTCTTGCGACGTCCCATACCTGAACATGTAATACACAAACCACTTATTTTTACTATTAAAAATTAAAAGCCTAAAGGTGAATGAAATTTAAGGCTTGACCAACCTGCACTACACCTTCAAAATTACTTGAAGCAATCTGGCTCTTAATATAGCCATTCCAACATATGCTGCTTAGCTTTGACCTACTCGCCATTTCAACCACTGGATAATGAATATCACGATCTTCATTTAAGATGCTATTATATTCAAATACTTTGATTTTCTTATTTACACCAGCTGATGCAAAAAATTCTCCGTCGCGATCAAAACTAAGAGAGCAAACTAGATTGGAAGAATTTAAAAGATCACCTTGCTTCAAGTCTGCCTTAACATTTAACTTACTGAAAGACAGATACTTGCACAAGCCATCAAGGAATGAATTTATCCATCCACTTTGCCTACCCTTGCTATGCCGCTCTTTTGATGACAAATTATTTACAGAACTTCTTTCATTTACAACGATAGACCCTTTACCATCACTACTCATTGGAGAATGCCTGCACAATGGTTTGCCAGTTAATTTAACTGGCCTGCGTCTTGTCAAGAAATAAGCCGACTCCAGTTTCTTGAAGTTCTTCATCAATCGAGAATTTTTAAAAAGAATGTTTTCTTTATTTTCAGCAGGTGTCTCTGACTTCTGACCCTCATCTAGATGATCATCACATTCCTCTCCATCATGAATGTGAAGCCCAGGTTTAAACCGTTTTCTGGACCCAGAGCTACAAGAATCATCATTGTCAACAATATTCATGGAAGGGAGATCGGAAGCTGAATCCTTACCCAACTCAGGAAACGAGCTTCCTTTTTGCCTAACAACTGTTTGATGCGTTGTGACTTCTTCTATATCAGAAGACAGAAAGGAAATTGTATCATGCAAGTTATCTGCAATTTCCTTTTTTCTTTGTTGCATCAGCAAAAGGAATTCCAGCAACAATTCCTGCTCCTCTATTCTCTCTCTAAGCTCTACTGCTGCTTCACGTTCTTCCAAGTTGTCTCTTGGTTCATTAAGAAATTCACTTTCCAACAATGCACTGTCATAACCGGTAGGAGAAAGTTAATAGTATGAAAACTTTTTGTTACAAGGATGAAAAAAATCTTGCAAGTAAATTTAAGTATGAGAATCTTACTAGAAAAGGAAAGAACATTAAAAGTTTTTATCTTACAAAGCTAAAGTTACAGGTAGCAAAAAATGATTAGTAAATATAACCCCAGAAGTTTAGCAGTGAAAAAATAATATCTACTCAAATTTCCAGCACAAAATGACATTCAGACAACTTTTCACCAAAAAATATTGATCATAATTACGTTTTCTTGCACACAATGATTCATATAATCTCAGCATGAATTTTATTATTATTTCTCTTGGTATGTAAGAGTAAGCACATATCTTTAAGGCTGCTCTTTGAGGTAATCCTGTGTACTTGAGTAGCCCCTTTGGCACCTTATTTTTTAAAATATTTTTCAATTTATAAATATGAGAGAGAGAGAGAGAGAGAGAGAGAGAGAGAGAGAGAGGGAGGGAGAATAAAAGTGTCATGTAACTCAATATATATCCAACAGATGACAACACTAATGTCAGCAATACAGTTTTCTAGATCTCTTTGTACTACTACAAAAATTACAGAGATAAACCAATAGAGAGGAGCAGATTGAGGGAGGAAACCATCATTGTGGCCAATAACACGCAAAATTAGAAAGGTCATTTCCTGGTTAGTTACACTTATATGGGAATGTAAACAAGGTAGAAAATTACGTCTATCCATTGAGATATGGTATGCTACAAGATAATATTTGCGACAAGAAATGAATCCTAATTTTTAGGATGACTGACCCTTTTAATACAGTCCATATAATATCTTTGTCGGGAGCTAGAGGAAATGAATCTCAGGTACATCAATTAGTAGTATGAGAGGATTAAAGTCGGATCCCCACTTAATGAATTATACATACATATTTATGTGCATATACTTTCCAATTGAGGAATCAACCATTTTTGGAGATAACAACGTGTATATATCAATGTATATATATATAGATACACACACACACATAAAAACACGAGAACAGGCCAAGCCGCCATGAGTTGTTGCTGTTTCAAACATTTATTTTTATCAACTGTTCAACAATTTTGTTGAACCAAAAGTTGGTTTTCAACCCTTTCTAGAAACAAGGTTATCAATAAATTGGCAACATTCCATAAGCAGGTTTGATATTCAGAGGCAGCGTAATTCAACTCCCTGAAAGAATCATTGAAGCTGGTTGATTGGCAGCCTCATTAGTAATGCGGTGTCAGAAACACAAGTTCACCTTAGAGTTAAAATGTGAACGTACATCATTTAGTAAAATAGGGATAAAGTTATCGCTTAAGTGACCCATCTTGCACCAAAAGCTACTGTTACAAGCTTCCATTGAAAGGCCTTTTGAATAATTTTAGTTCTCGTGAAAGTCCCTTTACTTCGTCTCACCAAACAACCATTTTTTTTTTTTTTTGATAACTCATATTTTCTTAGAAAGCACTTTTAGGAGTTCGAAATCCTTTGAGTCTCCTAGAAGCTTCCCCCCCAAACACTACCTAAATCATCTTCACACTTTTAATATAGAAACTGTTGTAAAGCATAAAACGGAAGCAAATAAATAAATGAAACACGAAGAACACAAGGATATTACGTGGTTCAGCCACTAGGGCCTACATCCACGACACAAAGAGCTAATATGCTAGATGACAAAAACTGAAAATAAACATCAACACCAATGCTACAAATAATTGTTACCACCGTTCTGTGTCTCACCGTATACCAAACCTCAAAGTAGGAAACACCTATCACCATGGTAAACTAATATGCTAGATGACAAAAACTGAAAGACGAAATATTCATAGGCACAACGCTCATGTCATGATGCAACTGAGATACAAAAATGGCATGTTGTAAGAAAAAGGTTACCCCATCTTTGGCCGACTACTTGGCTCAGGGTGTAGCAACCATAGGCAAAATGAAGCCTCTTTAGGCCACTTCAATAGCAACTGAGGAGGAAGAACACGGTGTCTCAGACTAGACATAGTTGAGCTCTTTTCTTCTGTCGAGGTAAATGTACAGAATAACTGTTCATAAATAAGATATTACCATCAGTTAAGAGTGGGAGAAAAACCAACAAAAGTAATAAATTCAATCTAGATTCAAAAGGGAAAAAAAAAGTAGAAACAAAACAACACGACAGCTTTAAACACTGATCCAGTTTAAGCTACTATGAAAAGTCACATCTAGATTACTGACCTCAAAAAGAAGGACCCCTAGTCGATAAATGTCGGAAGCACAAGAACTTGGCTCACTGGCAAACTCTTCTGGACTAGTGTACCAATTGGTTTCCATAAGCAATATCTCTTTCATTGGAAAGGGATATTTCTTTTCTTCTGCATGCTCAATATTACTGCCTTCTTCCAGTGATTGCATCACATAGGCTGAACCTGACTGCAAGCAACTACTTTCTGATAAAATCTGCCTAGCATTTGCAGAATTAATCTCGAAATGGGAAATTTCAGCACCTAACTGACTTCTCTGTTGATGTAAATCATGGGGCAACGGTGGAGATGAACCCTTAAACTCGGTAGTATGGCTGTTTGACCCATCCTCAAAGGAATCTGAACCTGAATCCGAACAGGAAGCAGACTCTATAAAGGACACGCGGTTAAAAGAAGACATGACAAAGCAGGAAGGGCGCACATTTTGAATAACAATTCCTTGTGAATGTGCTAGGTTAACAATCTCCACTATTTGTGTAAATATGTGCAAGCATTCAAGAACATCAACAGATCGTTCAGAGTTGTCCAACCACTGTCTCAAGCTAACATCACTCCACTCTACAGCACGAACAATAGGATCCACTGCTACCTCATCCTCCTGGGTTTTAAGGTAATCAGCGTAAGGCAGTGTGGCTCTATCCCTCCCCTTTCTTCCAGATATAAAACCAGAATCATGTGAGGCATCTAAAGATAGTCTGTTTATTCTGGCACGAAAAAGCGATCTCGGATTCCTATCGGAGACTGCCGAAGTACTCAATCCCCTAGAACTATCAGACTGTCGCCAATTAGACTCAGATGAACCCTCCATTATCATCCACCTATAGCTGCATGAAGCCCAGAACACACGCAACCAAGAAATGGAGGAATTCTCCGGCTTCCACCACACTCCCTCACCTCCACTAATACCATCTTGAATCACAAACACATCTTAGGGGCAGACACGGCCAAAAGCAATCCACTTCAAAACTCAAAGATCTCACTTCTCCACCTAAACACAATTTCCTTGCTGGCATAAAACGCAGATGATCATTGAGCAAGGAGTTTAAAGCATAAATAACATGAACGCCCCCACCAACTGAAACCCATCAAAGAAAATCCAGTAAACAATCAAAAAGAAAGAAAATTCGAACTCTCCAAATCCCAAATAAAGCAACTCATGCTAAAAGTATCACATACACATGTAGAGACAAGCATACATAAATACACATATTTACATAACATACCCATAGACATGCAAAAATACATACAAATACATGGAAAGAAAGAGAGGCACACCAGGACAACCAGGAGAGGAGATGCTGTTTCCACTGCACCACCCAAAGAACAGAGATCACACATCAAAACTTGCAACAAATGGGCTTTCTCCAAACGAAGCACCACAGCCTCGTAAAATCCACAGGATTTTCTTCTCCAACAGTGAAGAAATAAAAAACAAATAAAAATCTCTCTACGAAAAACACAGACCGTTTATTTGATTTCTAAACTCAATACTTTATTGTTTCTTTTAAAAACCCTAAGTCCCTCGTTATCTATAATCCACTTGTTCCCGCTTTTGTTCCAGATGTACGTGGCACAACCACGTCCTCTTAGCTCCTCTGAAAGCAGAGGCAAAAAAGTAAATTCAACCAACTTGTGGACCAGCAAAAAGGAATTTATAAAAGATTAAGAACATGTGACTTAGAGGATCTTCAAATTCCAATAAATAAGTTTCAACAAAGTTAAATTTAAACTGATCATTGATCAATTAAAATAAGACTAAAACTACTTACGTAATAAGCACATTACCGTTAAATATTATTTTAAAAATAAGATTTGAAATAATTAATATAGAATTAGATGCGCTAACCTTTTCTTCAAGATTGATCTTCAGCTTCCTAGTTTGCAGGCCAAACCCTGAAATAGCATTTTGAATCAATACGATTCTGATTAAAATATTACATCTTCTTACACCAACGAAGGAAAAAAGAAAAAAAAACATACAAACAAACAAACAGATGATCGAAATTTCAACATATGTTCAAGAGAATAGTTGTTTGAACTAATCAATCAAATTCAGCAGAGTATTTATTCACCATATAAATTCAGAGTCCAATAATGACCAAATGCCAACTAATCACAGCTAAATCCAGACATAGACGATTGATTCTGAGTACGTAATTCGCTTTAAACCCTAGATATGAGATTGTTGTGAAAGAGAGAGTGGTCTAGAGAGAGAAAGTGGTCGTTCATTAATTAATCACATTAAATTAAAACAAGCAGGACCGGTTTAAATCACTGTTAAACCCTAGAACCCAAAATTTTAGAGAGAGAAAGAGAGGAGAGAGAGTGCGTTGCAAAAAGGCAGATAATGCAGATTAACTGTTTAAAATGATAACACCTTGAGGGCGTAGCACGTGGCACTGGAGAGATAAGGCGTGGCAATGAGGTCGAACGAGGGTAGGCTCGTAAAGATATTCTGTCAAACCTAATTCCGAAGCAACTTGAGAAACGACCGGGACCTTTTGTTTCTGCCGCGGAGGCCTTTTGTCCTGAGGCTACTACTCCGCACCTACCAACTACTGTATATACTACTACATTAAGAAAGAGAGAAAAACATAAATTTCTTACTTACTTTATGAGGAAAAAAATCTATGGACCACCGGCTCATAGATTTATGTTTTTATTTATTTATTTTTGTCCTTTATTTAAAGTCAATTTTTCTTTCTTTAATCACTCGAGATTTGTATCTTACTATCATGTATGAGATGGAAGTCCAATTTCATATTTTATTAGTATCACCCACAATTAACGACAATTTACAACCACAAAAAATTAAGTTATGAATTTAGTGGAATTTTATAAATCAACAATATGCAGTGTTATTAAACAACATAACAACCCTTAATGACAACATCAATTATCTTCAATTCTTCTAAATTAGTACTTTCAAGTTTCAACCCACTATGAAAATCATAAGTATGTTGCATTTCAAGTACGAGTACTCCCACCGGTCCACACAACAAGAGTAGTAGTAGTAGTAGTAGTGAGATGAAGAAAATGATTTTGTAGCCCCCAATCAACTAAAGTAGCGTGTACAAGGCCCACTCATAAACTGAGAACTGAAAGAAGTTAGATGGCACCCAAGTATTGTGTTGCCACCTCCATTGGTAGTGAAAGCAAACATGATACAATTTCCATGTGCCATAGAAAGAACAATACCTATTTTAGGCAGTAATAAGCTCTACAAGAATAGCTCAAATTCTAGGAATTGCAGTTACAGAGTGCAGAGAGAATAAATTGTAACAGATTGCTCAAATACAAAGAGAATGAGAGGGGGGTTTCCTAGTAAACTATAAGATGGCCTAAAATATTCCACCTCCCATCTCTCGTGGAACAACTGCTGTACAACAACCCCACCACCAACCATATAACTCATTTTACAAGAGAATCACCATTATATTACTCAGAGTGATTTCTCTCTTGATTCATCTTAATTGGGATTTATTTACCCAGCTTAGTGACCAGAAACAAATAATGAATTAATTGATAGTTGGTTTCCATCAGCCTGAACTTTTCTCACTTTTGCCTTGTCAAGGCGCGCTCGCCTTACTGCCTCTTGGATTTGGAGATCATGGTCCTTCAGCATCTCATCCACTTTGCCGGATGGAACTAGTAGCGGCCCAGAGTAGTGAATTTTCTTACCCTTTGATCCATAACCAAGCTGGAGATACATAAACAAGAACACAGCATATTCTTAGAAAATGAAAGTTACCAGCAAAAATCAGAAACAGTAAAAGTGTCTCAGCTTCATAATTCATTATCTGTTTCACAAGCCACTCTTCACCAATGGATGGCACGTGGGTGGGGGGAGTGAGTGTGACAACTTACCATAATTGGATCATTCTTGCTGTTTCTTCCATCATCGTTCTGATGGCCACCTGCCACATTCTGCCCTTGAACCTTTTGATTCCGCTTTATCATGGTTTCAGAAGCCTCCTTGAAGGATCCAGGAAACCGGCCTATTAGTTTTGGAACTTCCTGTTGTGAATGACCAGTTTTCCCTCTGCATTCCTCAGATAACAAATTCCTCCTTGCTGCTACCAAACCAGACATTGCTGATAAGTCGGCCCCCATCGAAATCTTTGGAGCATCATCCAAGTTTTTCCCAGCCTTTGCCCAGGTACCACGGTGAACCAGTGGCCCAGAATGGGAAGCCCTCTTATGAATATGTCCCTGGGGATCAATGCTTGATTCTTCCACAGCATGAGATGGCATACGTGGGTCAATTGGGAAGCCAGAAGCAACTTCTTCTTGATGAGGGGTGAACTTCTCACTCCGACTCTTGGAATTGGACTGACCTTGTCTTTTCTGTAACCAGGAGGAATTACTTTATGAGGAATTGAGGTAAAAATAGAAGTTTTTTAAAAAGAAAATACATTTGGGATTAACAAGACAGTACATGTGCCAGAGAGTTGAGGGGCCCTTTATTATAGCAACGATGAAATAAAGGAGCTATGATTAAAAAGGAAGTAGCCTGAGTAGAAGGTCGAGGCTTCAAGTCTCCATAGTGGCAAAGTGGGTGTGTGAGTTTCAAATGGGAAAAAAATAAAATAAATAAATAAAAGTATGCAATGAAACAAGTAACAAGAATTAACAAGAAAAATGTTTCACCATGCACAACATGGCTCAGAAAAACCAAGATTACCTGCATTGACAAGACCAATTCTGCATTGGCATCAGGCGCTGGAACAGCTCGTGATTCTCTTGTTCCTCTCCTTTCTAGGTCATATTTGTGGCCCTTGTTCCCTGCTGCTGCTAGTCTATAATTACCAGCAACAAAAAAAAGGTTCTCAGAACATAAACCACTCTTACCAATTATCTGTTTGGTAGTATTGGAGCACCAAACAAGGATCATCAATGTATACCAGAAAAATGAACATTAAAAATTCATAGTATATCACATGATGAAGTTAAGGTAACCAAAATCCAAAAATCAGACTGACAAGTAGCAGAATTCATATTGCGAGTGCAATTAGAACATCACGACCATAACTGTCAAACCTACAACTAACAAGCAATTAGGACATAACTGATTTTGACATGATGCATAAATCTGTAGTTATTGCCTTGTTGCTTATAAAATGAGAATGTTACTCCAGCATAATGGTTTCGAATAACAGAAATGGCTGTTATATATATAACATAATAATAAAGATGCACCTTCTAGCTTCTTCATCCCGTACTTTTGCATCGAACTCTTTGCTGGGAGGATACTTTGGCAAGCTTGAAGGATCACAAGGAAGTGGCTTTGTTGTAAAGAACTGAAATAAAAAAATGGATGAAGACGTAAAATACTCCACAACAAAGAATCAAACATGCTCCTCAATAACTTAAAAAATATATATATTAAGCAAAGAAAAGAAGGTTGCAGCTTGCAGATATGATAGCAACAGTTATTACATCCATAACAAGATGGTACACAACAATACAAGACAAAGCATTGACAGGTGGACCAACGCAACAATTTTGTAGTAGCCTAAACTATTCCTCAAAATCTCTAGATTTTGGGGACCACAAAAGTTCAAGTGACAAATCCAGAAAATTTACAGTTCATTAATCATGCCTGCTTACCAACACTAAAAGCCTATTACCAGACAACAAAGTAGGATCAGAAAGTAATTTATTCAATTCAAATATATGATACACTAAGCAACACCAAAGCGGGATGCAAAATAGTAATAGAACATACTTTCAAAAATGATTTGTTTGGTGGTGGGGGAGAAGGGAGTGGGAAAAGCTAAAGGGAAAGATCAAAATAGTTCATATATCAGCTGTATAAGGAAGATCATGTTCACAACATTTCCAGAAAATTCATTTTTTAGAAACTCCATACCTCATTCTTCAGAGCAGAAGCTGCAGATCCGCGATCAGCAGGATCTATAGAAAGTAAGGTCTCCATAAGCACTAATGCTGGTGCAGGGAAGTCTTCAAATGTTTCAGCAACACAGCGTCTATAAGGCTGCTGGGGTTTGAAAATCGTTGCATGAGGCAACTTTGATTTTCTCCAGTATTCCTCAGAGGGTGAGCCACAAAGTTTGAAAATTTTATGCAACTGCTCCACCTAAAGGGAGAAAGATTCTAACTTATAACAGCCATTCATTTTATATAGAAGAAAATTGAGACAAAATAACAAAAAGAAGCAGATTGGAAAATCATATTTTTACTCGATTAATAACTGCATGAACAACAATAACAGAACTTTTTAATCTGTAAAAGGGAGTACGGATAACATCCATGAGCACATTTATGGTGTTCAATCACATTCATGTCACCCTTCTGCGAAGAAAGAACAAAAATGACACACGCTGAAGATTTCAACTCTAAAACTTATGGATAGTAAAAAATCAAAGGTGAGCAAACTGAATCAGACTACTTCCAATACATTGGAGAAAAGGCTTAATTTCAATTCTCAGTTTAAAATATTAGAATATAACGCAAAGCACCTGCCTCCATTCAACTGTAGCTGTCACCTTTCCCATAAACACGTTACCACCACCCAAAAAATTCCAATATAACTGCCATCACTACCTCCAAGTACATGCCTTTGCCAGTGCCACCACTTTCACCAAAAGCACAAAACATCCCTATGAGAAAACCACCACCTAAATATAGCATCCTGACTGAGTGGGTCACTGTTGTAATACAGCCATAACGGGGAAAAGGCACGAGCACAACAGTCAAACATCATCTGATGCTACAGGTCGTCTACAATTATCGCAGCTCCAAATCCATACGCAGGTGTGCAGCCAATGGCCATTACTTCTGTGTGCAATGCCAAGCCACAAAATCAAACTTTGAGGCACACAATTTGATGTCACAACCATGTGACTTGAGGTCAAAGTCAAACGATTAACCAAAGTATAATATGCATTTTAAATGTATATAAACCCAGTTACAACTTACAGGCCCCAGCGGAACCCAATGCATTATCGATATCTGATGTGATGTGAGGCTCTATGCTAGTTACACTTTAAATCAGTAGGTATTGGTTGGGTAGTGTTTGGTCGAGTACATAATTAGGATAGAGAATATCATAGATATCCCAGCTGGACTAGGCTAGGGTGGAAACCTAGGCTGACTTATGAGGGAGAGAATGGCAGATAGCCAACGAGAGAGCATCGCAGACTTTGTAAGGTTGGATCTAGAAACCGAGTATCAAGGTCAAGAGGTGGGATTTAGAGGTCTATATGAAGTATGGTGCATAACGAACAACTAGTCTTCTAAGTCATCTTCCCAAGTGTGTTGAAGGTGTATATATAATCTGCAGATGGAGGCAAGACCCGCTCATGCCGATGTGGGAGTCCAATGGGTTTGTCCCACGTCTCTTAGGTGGTCCAATAATATGCTGCAATGTATACGTCCAGTCAGGTGACAATAGTGAGGGCCCAACTACGTATCACCACGTGGCCCAACTGTGTGTCACCACCACCTCTAAAACAGTCCATTGAGGTGATATGGTCAGGATGTCACCAAAGTGGCTAGGCATTTCCAACAAGATTCTATGATAGTTCAGAAGGGTGTTCCCAACTTCCCACGTCATAAAGGCATTCAGAAATCACATGATATATCTCTCTCTTTAAGTCATGTCAAGGTTTGCCAGACTTCGAGGTGAGGTTACCTTGACAAGGCCAAACTCCAGCCACTAAGCCAAGTACACCTAGGTAACCAGGGGGCTGGGTTATGTCAACAAACCTCGAAGTGGGCCTGAAGAGTCAATAATAGGGATGGCAACGGAGTGATTTTGGGGCAAGGGGGCCCTTCCTTGTCCCCGCCTACATTTAAGATTCCCCGCCTCATCCCCATTCAAAACCGTTTTGTAACCCCCCTCCCATTCCCATTCCCATTTAAGTTTTCCCGTCCTGTTTAAACTCCCACCCAATTTTATTTTCCTAATTTTCTCACTCAAATTTTAAAACATCAGATTTAAAAATATAAGTCAAATAAACATTTTTTTCAAACCAAATAACATTAACATTGATAAGTTCGAAAGTTTCCAACAAAGTATTATTTGAGTAACGGGAAGAGTAGGGCAAGGCGCGCGCGCGCGCACATATATTAAGGGTAAAATGATAAATTCTCAATATAAACGAGGCGGGGCGGGATGACCTTCCCCCAACCCCGCCCCACGCGTTGTATATCGCCTTAATGCATCTAACTTAGACTGTGTACATACTACATCAGTATGCCTTCGCAATAAGTATATGACGAGGGGATCTCATTGGTAATAATGTGCACATGGAAACCATGAGGTCTGTTTACAGCCAAGCCCGTATGGATAAAAAGTAAAAACTGAGGGTTCCTAGTTGTGTGAGTCAGAATGCATGGCCAGATAAGTATGCAAGGGCATAAGGCTCCCATTTAAATCGCGAGATAAAATGGCTAGAGGCGGCTCTTCTATTTCAGATATCTCATTTTATTTTTTTGGATTCTTTGGGGCCTTAAACCCCGGTTCCACGGTTGTATAAGGGATGCGTTCCCCTCTTGAACGCCTTTTTTTTTTCAATTATTACTTATCAAAAAAAAAAAAAAAGATATCTCATTTTATTTATTTCACTATAAAATCAAATATAAACAAGTAATTGTTGATGTGATGCTTGCGAGGAGGTGGGTGGACCAGATACCTAATGGTGGAATTTCTTCTGGGATGATGTGATAGGATGTTTAGGACAATAATTTGGTGAGGATTACCTCATTGCTAGAAAATGGTCTGCTCTTCACCGTGGAATTGTATGTTCCTCTAGCACCAAAAGGTGGATAGTCTATTGATTTACTGTTCATTTACATTCTTTTTGCAGTTTTTCTGCCATACTTGGTTTACCTTGCATGGCTCTCCGATCCTCACTTAAACTTGGTCTAGGAAAAGAAGAATGTATGTATTGATCCCTCATACCATCTTTTGATTAACCTAGAGAAGAATCAAGAATCATTGAGGGTCAAGTTTAATCAGAATCACTGGTGGTTAAAAAAGTGCCTTACTAAACCTTGGTAATCTGTTATCGTTGCATAAGCAAAAAAACCATAAATTTTAACCCAATATTGCATTCTGCCCCTTCTCAGATGATCCTTTCTACCCCAATATTTAGATTTTATCCCAACAATCCTTCTCTTGCAACAAAATTATCTTTTATGAACCAAAAAGCAAAGGAGAAAAAGCAATCACTTGGTTTATATTCAGGAGTAGATCATAATTCAATTCTGAGATGGCATCACATCTCTCAAACTGAACGTTTCAGTTCTTAATACTGAGCTACTCAACTCACTCCACAGCAGTTGCTAAGCACTAAACAAAAATCAAGTTCTAGAACTAAATCCTCATGAATTAATGATGGATTAGATGGGATACCTAATATCAATTTTTATTTAATTTTGTTGATAAGATTGCATAAAAGTGCACTCAAAGGGGAGCGCAGCCCAAGAACAAAAGCAAGAACAAGAGAGTCTGCCATCTAGGAACAAAGGCCAAAGCCAGAACATTTTTTTAATACCAAACATCAGACGGCATCAGACAACTATATTTACAAGTCATTTGTCCCGTTAAGAAGGAAACTCCCTGATATCAATTCACTAATGTTCCTTAAATTAAGACTCCTGAAACTCCAGTTTCTAATCTGATTTGTATGTCATAAAATAAACCAAGTAGAAAATAAAACTAATTCAATTTAGAAAAACCAAGATTGCCTCAATGACGGATGTGATTGTTCGAAGCTTGTGGGGAGGGAGATTTGTGGAGTGGTTTGCTTTGAATGTGATTGGCTCTTCGGGAGGTATCCTACGTGGGATAATCGATGGGTCACTTTGTTGGACTCTCAAGTTGGGCTTTTCTCGGCTTCCTGCGTTCTCTCTATGGTGGAGGATGGTTTTCGTTGGGTTTTTTCTGGTGTTTATGGCCCTCCAGAGGATTGTGTCTGTCGTTTACTTTGGGAGGAATTGGGGGAGGTTCGTAGGAGATGATCGATGCCTTGGTGTATCGGTGGGGATTTCAATGTTGTGCGTTCCCCTTTTGAGAGATTGACTGGGGGCAGATGCATTTTGTTTGTTTGATTTGCCTTTGGTGGGTGGGCCTTACACTTGGTCTAGTGGTCGCTATCCTCCTACTCTCTCTCGACTTGATAGATTCTTTTTGTCGAGTGATTGGGAGGAGAAGTTTTCCGATATTGTTCAATCCACTTTGGCTCGCCCTTTGTTCGATCATGTTCCATTGATGTTGGACTGTGGTGGGTTGCGTAGCCGAAAGTCCCCTTTCAGATTTGAGAATATGTGGCTTCGGGCTGAGGGTTTTCTGGAGCAAGTCCGATCCTGGTGGGTGGGATACGGAGTGAGTGGCTCCCCTAGTCATTCTCTGGCAGGCAAGCTGCGTCTTTTGAAGAATGATCTTAAAGTTTGGAACAAAGAGGTTTTTGGAAATTTGGCTTGGCGGAAGAATCGTGTTCTCTCTGAGATTGCTGATATTGATAAGATGGAGGGTCAGGGTCTTTTGCCGGTTCCCGTGAAGCTTAGGAGGGTGGAGTGTCAGGCAGAGTTTGCTGAGATCGCCGCCATGGAGGAGATTTCGTGAAGACAAAAGTCTAGAGCTTTGTGGCTCAATAATACCAAAAAAATTCATTGACTTGCCAATGCTCATAGAAGGGGCAATCACATTGGGAGGATTAGGGTGGATGGGGTAATGTTTTGCAAGGAGGAGGAGATTTGTAAGGGTTTTACTGATTACTTTTCGAAGTTGTTCACTGAACCAGCTGGTTGGCGCCCTTTGCTTGATGGACTACACTTTGATTCTATTTCGAGTGAGGAGTCTTCTGCTTTGGAAGAGCCTTTTACGGAAGAGGAAGTTTTGTCTGCTTTAAAGAGCTATAATGGGGATAAAGCCCCTGGTCAGATGGTTTCTCTATGAGATTCCTTTTGGAGTGCTGGGAGGTGGTCCGTGAGGAGATGATGGACTCTTTTCACGCCTTCCATGGTCAGGGTTCTTTTGAGAAGAGCTTGAATGCCACTTTTCTTGCTCTTATTCCGAAGAAGGGTGAAGCGATGGATGTTAGGGATTTTCGCCCTATCAGTTTGGTGGGCTGTTTTTACAAGTTGATTGCGAAAGTTTTGGCCTCTAGGTTGAGGAAAGTTATGGATGGCGTTATTTTTGATTCTCAGAATGCATTTGTGGGAGGTCATTAGATTCTGGATTCAGTTCTTATTGCTAGTGAATGTGTGGACTCCCGTTTGAGTTGCGGGATTCCGGGTGTTTTATGTAAGCTGGATATTAAGAAGGCATATGATCATGTTTGTTAGAGTTTCCTCCTCTACTTATTGGAGAGGATGGGGTTTGGTGGGCTATTTTTACAAGTTGATTGCGAAAGTTTTGGCCTCTAGGTTGAGGAAAGTTATGGATGGCATTATTTCTGATTCTCAGAATGCATTTGTGGGAGGTCATCAAATTCTGGATTCAGTTCTTATTGCTAGTGAATGTGTGGACTCCCGTTTGAGTTGCGGGATTCCGGGTGTTTTATGTAAGCTGGATATTAAGAAGGCATATGATCATGTTTGTTGGAGCTTCCTCCTCTACTTATTGGAGAGGATGGGGTTTGGCGGGCGTTAGAGGAGATGGATTCTTTTCTGTATCTCTAGTGCTCGATTCTCTGTCATTGTGAATGGAGCTCCGACAGGTTTTTTCTCTTCTTCGATGGGCTTGAGACAAGGGGATCCGCTTTCTTCATTCTTGTTCCTTTTTGTGATGGAGGCTCTTTGCAAATTGCTAAAGAAGGCTGTAGAGTTGGGTTTTTTGAGAGACTTTCGGGGTGGGCAGGGATGTTGCTAACCAACTGGAGATTTCCCACTTGATGCTTACGGATGATACTTTAGTGCTTTGTGATGTTGATGCGTCCCAGTTGAGATATTTGAGATGTGTCTTGATTTGGTTCCAAGTTGTCTCTGGTCTTAAGGTGAATGTTGGTAAAAGCATCCTTGTGCCTGTTGGGGATGTCCCTGATATTGAGGTGTTTGCTCAGATTCTTGGATGTCGCACTGGCTCTTTTCCCATTTCTTATTTAGGGTTGCCTTTGGGAACCCCTTCAAGATGTGTAGGTAGTTGGGATCCGGTCGTGGAGAGATTTGAGAGGAGGCTGGCGGGTTGGAAAAAGCAGTAACTTCCAGGCTCCTTCTTATTAAGAGTACCCTTTCTAGCCTCCCCACTTATTTCATCTCTAACTTCCAGATTCCTTCTTATGTGGCTGAGAGAATCGAGAGATTGCAACGCAACTTTCTTTTTTTTTTTTTTTTGGGGGGGGGGGGGGGGGAGGAGAGGAGTTCAAATATCATCTGGTTCGGGGGGAGCATGTGTGCCGTCCGATTCGGTGTGGAGGTTTAGGGTTAAGGAGGTTGTTACCTTTCAATAGGGCTCTCCTTGGAAAATGGTTATGGAGGTTTGGGATTGAGAGGCATTGGCTTTGGAGGAGAGTTATCGCAAGCAAGTTTGGAGAAAGCAGTGGTGGGTGGTGTTCTACTGAGATTCGTGGTCCTAGGGGGGTGGGGGTTTGGAATCTTATTCGGAGGGGGTGGGATGATTTTTGCAAACATGTTCGCTTTTGGATCAAAGATGGTAGGTGGATCAGATTTTTGGAGGATCTCTGGTGTGGGAAGCTTCCTCTTGCTCTCGCTTTCCCACGGCTCTATTAGATCGCTTCTCACAGACAGACCATGGTGGTTAACTGTTATCACCTTTATAACGGGAGACTGACTTGAGATGTTCAGTTTATGAGGCACTTTCAGGACTGGGAGATTGAGGATGTTACTCGTTTTTTAAAAGTTCTGTATCGTTGGGGATTCGGATTGTTGGCTTTGGGTTCCTAACTCTCAGGGTCGTTTCGAGGTTGGGTCCTTTTTTAAGTGCCTCTCAGTTGATTCTGGAGGCCATTTCCCTTGGAAGTCTATTTGGCGATCTAAGGCCCCTCTTAAGGTTGCATTTTTTGCTTGGACTTCCGTCCTGGGTAAGATTTTAACCCAGGATAATTTAAGGAGGAGGAATCAGGTGGTGGTCAATCATTGTTATATGTGCTTGTGCAATGAGGAGACAGTTGACCACCTTCTTTTGCACTGCAACATGGCCAGAGACTGTTGGGATTTGATGCTTGGATTATTTGAGATCCATTGGGTTATGCCCTGTTCCTCTAGAGGGTTGATCGAGGCTTGGAGAGGTGTCTCTGTTGGGGTTCTCATTCAAGAGACTTGGAGGGCTAAGCCTCTTTGTATTTGGTGGTGCATTTGGCTCTAGCGAAATAGGAGATATTTTGATGGAAAGAAGAAATATATTTCTACGCTTAAGTTCTCTATTATTTCCACTCTTTCTTGTTAGGTTTCAGGGAGAGATTATAGATCTATTGAGGAAATTATTGTATTTTTGGCCTCTTTGAAGGTTTAAAGCGCCTTGTAGCCCTTTTGTTTCTGTGGGTTCCGCTCCCCTTTTTGAGCGTTTTTTATAAAATCTTACTTATCAAAAAAAAAAATTTAGAAAAACAGTAATTTGCTACAAAATTTTGCCCATAAATATATTGGAGTGGAAAATCACTTGAAGCTCATGGGCAACAAAAAACTGTAAAGTAACTTCAAATCAAAGGTACTTTTTGATGATAAAACCAGTAAAAATGAACCATCCAGACCCCAGAACAAATACTGTAAAGAGCATCAATCCTGCATTTCTGACAGAAACAGAATATTAGATTAGGTACGTCTGTAAAACCAGTAAAATGAACCATCCAGACCCCAGAACAAATAATGTAAAAGGCATTAATCCTGCATTTCTGACGGAAACAAAATAATAGACTAGGTACCTCTGTTCTTCCAGGCATAATAGGCTTGCCGGCATATAATTCAGCAAGTATGCAACCAGTGCTCCATAAATCCACAGCAGTCCCATAATAAGTAGCACCAAGTAGAAGCTCTGGTGGCCGGTACCACAGAGTCACAACACGGCTTGTCAGTGGCTGACTCTGACGAGGATCAAAAAAACTTGCCAAACCAAAGTCCGCAATCTTCAGAATCCCACTATTATCAATTAGAAGGTTGGAACCTTTTATGTCACGGTGTAGCACACCACGACTGTGGCAATGATCGAGTCCTTGTAAAAGTTGCTGCATATAACATTTAACCTGCAAAGAAATAAATACTATTTGAGACTTTCCAAAGTAAAAAAGTAAAAAATAAACAGTTTATTTTTCAATAACTCAGGACTGAATAGGATCAATCTGTAATTAAGTACTGCAGTATAAGACATGTATAATAATGTGAAACTATTGTTGGAGGAATCCACTTAGTAGAAATGTCACCTTTCCTTGCAGTTCTACAGAACAACATTGAGTATGAAATGCAGCCATAGGTAAAATAACAAAAACCTTCCGATAAGTACCTGTGGTTCCGTGAACTTAAGACCAGGGTGTGAAGCAAGCCCCGCCAGGTCATGCTCCATGTACTCTAAAACAAGGTACAAGCTGCAAGACATCCTAGATGTAACTAGACCTTCCAATTTTATTATATTTGGGTGATCAAGCCTGCGTAGAATGTGAATTTCTCTCGCCATGAAGCGAACACTCTCAGGCTCCAGGTTATCGAACCTTACTTTCTTCAGAGCAACAATCTTCCCCTGATCAAGATCGCGAGCCCGATAAACATTACTATAAGTTCCCTGGCCAATCTGTAAAATGGGAGATTATCAGACAAATAACTCAAAACTAACTAATGACAGGTAAAGCCAACTTATGGAGTACAGCAACAAGTAATAGAGGACGTGATGCGGTATCAGTGGATAAATGCGATAAAATAATCTTATCTTTGTCTACACCACTAAAATAACATTTCTCTTTTTTGTAGAATTCAAATGAGGAAACAATAGATAGCAACGAAGCAAAGTACTCAAACAAGGAAGTTAAGTAACATATATATATATATATATATATATATAAAGTTGAGTAACATATATTTGAACCAATAACCTCCTCAACCTCGATAGTTTTGAATAACTGAGTAGACCAATGCAAAAACTCCTCATAACAATTACTTGGGCTAGTTACTCGTACTTATTTCTCAACATTATATTTAAACTTGCAGGATTTATGTTTATTATGCTTGAACTAAAGATTTCACCTGCCGGCAATCTAATGCAACCCTCCTTTTTTTAGAGGCTTCAGACTAACTATGAATTAGACACGGACCAGCATGCAGGTGCACAAGCAACATATATATATGTTATATTCTTGTGTTCTTCATGTTTAATATCTCTATCCAATTTTTATATCTTTCAATATGGTATCAAAGTAGGTCTATTATACCTACTCTATACTCCTCATCTCAGATCTATTGTTCATGCCTCATTTCTCTACTCTTCTCGTCTCAGATCTGAATTTTTATCAGATCGAATCGTCTTATCTCAGATTTTTAATTGGATCAGCTTGTCTCGGATCAGCTCGTCTCGTATGTAATTTCAAGTTGGTACAGTTGAGTTAAAATCTCCATGTGCCAAATACCAAACTTGAGGGGTGGGAGGGGCTTTTTCGTAGAATTCAAATGAGAAAACAATAGATGGCAAGGAAGCAAAGTAGTCAAACAATTAACATATATTTGAACCAATAACTTCCTCGACCTCGAGAGTTTTGAATAACTGAGTAGATCAATGCAAAAACTCCTCATAACAATTACTTGGGCTAGCTACTCGTACTTTTTTGTCAACATTATATTTAAACTTGCAGTATTTATGTTTATTATGCTTGAACTAAAGATTTCACCTGCCGGCAATCTAATGCAACCCTCCTTTTTTTAGAGGCTTCAGACTAACTATGAATTACACACGGACCAGCATGCAGGTGCACAAGTAACATATATATACATTACAAGCAGCATGCATATACGTTATATATTCTTGTGTTCTTCATGTTTAATTTCTCTATCCAATTTTTATATCTTCGAATATGGTATCAAAGTAGGTCTATTATACCTACACCATACCCCTCATCTCAGATCCATTGTTCATGCCTCATTTCTCTACTCGTCTCGTCTCAGATCTGATTTTTTATCAGATCGACTCATCTCATCTCATCTCGGATTTTTAATCAGATCAGCTTGTCTAGGATATTCTCGTCTCATATGTCATTTCAAGTTGGTAAAGTTGAGTTGAACTCTCCGTGTGCCAAGTACCAACTTGATGGGGAGGGAGTTGGAGAATATCATTATATGAGTGATTTAAGCCTTTGATAGAATATTGATTAGAGTGATTCATGGGATCGATTTTTTTTTTTTCGCTCTCTTTTTTATTCATGGGATCGATTTTGGGAATCTCTCCACCAATATATTTTTCATATTTATCACATGTTTATATTTTTTTCACCTAAAAATAGAGATGACTATTGTAAACAAAAGTAAGAGAGAATGTAATTGAAGAGATGTAGTCCTTTGGGCTTTGTGTGCCATGGATGTAGGCCACATTATATTCTTGTGTTCTTCATGTTTAATTTTTACTTCAACTTTTTATATCTTTCAACAATAACTCTTTGTCCATATAAAATCCACCTAATACAAAAACCAATGAAACTTTTTAGTGTTTATTGCACTTTAGTTTTTGCCTTGAGATCTCAATGCCCAACACTACTTGACATCCATAAATCCCTTTTTCAAAGCATAATTGAATTGGTTCTTGCAAAATTATAATCCCAATTCCTGCTAATATATGCTTGGTAAAAATATATATATATTAGAAAATATGGATGATATTGGACCATTTAGTGTCTTCGCCTTTAATTTTATCACATTCCATTACTAAAATTTTCAAAGTGTGGGAAAATTTAGTACATACAAGACCAAAACTAAAATTTAGGAGCTTCACTTAATCTTTAAAATTCTATTCTAACATTCCCACTGTTCTTCAAAGCAGATGAGTACAAAATCATCAAGGATTGTGATTATTTCTGGAATTTATAATCAGTTCACCATAATAGGGTGTCATTTGTTATTAAGAACTCTTATATACCTGTTAAGTGCATCCAAACTGACATTTCTATTAACTTTCATTCATTTAGTTCAAGAAATTACATTTTCTACCAAGCTAATAGGCACTAACTTTCATATAAAAAATTTGTCTCCGAAATTTGAATTTCTATAAAGTGATAAACAAATTCTAGTTGAGGGGTTATCAAGAGCACAAAATAAAATATAATCATTACTCATGAACACAGTAACAATAAATTCATCTCTTAATCCATGATGAATATAATTCTGCAATCAAAAACAAGGAAAGGAGCATACTTTATCCAACTTCTCAAATGAATCTGCCCGCCGTGGTACCCATCCCCTGATTGCTTCACCAGCCACTGCTGCCAACCATGCCGGCCACCCTGCTGCAACCTGCTCTCCTTCTGTAGCTTTCGGAATGCTGCCCACGGCAGGGTGGTGTGTGGCAACAATATACTCAGTCTTCTCCCTCTTCCTCTCAAAATTCTCACTATGCAACCGAACCGAACCATTTGCTTGTTTGTCAATCAAAACTGCCCTACCATCATTATTATCAGATCGATCCTTAACTCTATACTCTTCTTCTCTCCTCAGAGAACTCAACCTTGGTACTCGCAAGTCTGACGAGGTCTTACTCGACAACCTCTCCCTTGGACTCTCCCTACTATCATCAATAGCAGAGGGCTTACAACAAACACAACCCATTATACACAAACAACACAAACCCACCTTCAAGAAAACAACCTTTCACCAATGAGACCCTTTATTTCCACAAATTCCTCTTCTTCCATGTCAATCACAACCAAGCTCAACGGTCTCAACCCAAGTATCAGATTTTAACCCAAGATTGAACAAAACCCACCTCATACATCACTACTAATCACATAAAATCAATTATATCTACTCATTCAGAAACCAAAAAAACTTCCTCATATACAAGTATATAAAAACCCTATAAATCAATTCAAATTTCACACAAATTAGAGGAGTTCAATACATAGTACCTTGTAAACTTGTAAATAAGTGTGCATGTGTACTTGAGACTCTGGTTCCCAGGTGGCGCGAAATGAAAGCCCTAGAATGGAGTGATCTAAGATTTGTGTGTTGGATTGAGGGAAGGTATGGATCCAGGGCACTGATTGTGTACGATATATATATATATATATATAGAGAGAGAGAGAGAGAGAGAGAGAGAGAGAAGGAGGGTGGGGAGGGGGGGGGGGGGGGGAAGGGATTAATTTCTGAAGTAGTAAAAAATGGACTATACATTTTCTTACGCTGTATTTATATACTATGACCGCCAGGCAGCTTTTTAGTAGCTGTAGAGAGATAGACCAGTGTGTATTGCGACATTCCTCTTCCCACGTAGATCCAATCCACGCGCACATGCATGGGAGTGGCTAGTACTAAAATAATGAAATGACTAAATTGTCTGCACAGGCATATTTAATTTTGGGGTTAATTACAACGACACCCCCTGAAGTTTACTATATTGACAGTCATATATAACTTAACCGTTTTTTTAACAAAGATACCCCTTAGATTTAATAAAGTTAACAAAGACACCCCAATGGTCGTGAATTGACATTATTGTCCTTTGACACATTCAATTACCAATTTACCCAATACAACTATTTTTTATTGACTAAAATACCCTATAAACTATACTCATACTAGTTCACACCCTCCACCACCATTTCACAGCCCTACCATAGCCGCCACTACCTCTACCACCATGGTGCTCGAAATAAAGCTATCAAGTATCACAAAATACAAAATAGAAAGTGCAAAGATCAACTCCTAATCTCTCTATATAATATACAAACATATATGTGTATTTATAACTCGTAATCCATCTTCTTTACAAAATTCACTTCCCCCAAATTCCTATAATCTATCTTCTTCCTACGTGTATATAAATTGTGATTAATCAAACCACCACTACCATCATTGTTCTTCTCGTCGGAATAATGGAGCCTCGGCATCGGGTCGTTGTCGGGAATTTCTTTAGCCGTCAACGTTGTCTAGTATGATGGTCACCCTAGTTGAAGCTTCCACTGGTCGTCGACGTTGTCAGGAATCACGGTTGGATCACAAGCGATAGTGGTGGTTGTGGATGAGACATAGTGGCGGCGGCTGTGGTTACTGGGGAGAGGCGACGGCTGTTGTTAGCGTTGGAGATACGGCGGCTGTTGTTGGCGTCGAAGAGACGATGGCTGTTGAGAAGGGCAGCGACGGCTGTGGTTGAGAAGGGTAGCGACGGTTGTTGTTGATCATGAAGCGGTGACGACGGCTGTTGTTGAGAACGACGATGACGGTTATTATTAATCATAAAGCGGCGACGGTGGCGGATCAAGACGCAAAGGCGACGGTGGCGACGACGGTGGATCAAGACGCAGAGGAGATGACGAATCAAGATGGTGACGGTGGCGGATCTCGATGGGCGGTGGCGGATCTGGATGAAGGAAGCTTTGAGATTGGTTATATGTATATATATATTTATATATGAGATGTATATATATTTATACATATGATGGTACTGATGTAATAGTGAATGTATATATGGGCAAATTTGACTTTTCATGAGTTATGATATTTTACCATAAAAATAATTAAACATTGAAGGGCAATTTCGTCTTTTCAAATATTTTAAGGGCCTGTTTGGATAACAGGGGATATCTTTGTTCAAAAAATGACTAAGTTGTACATGGCTGTCAATATGGCAAATGTCAGGGGATGTCGTTGTAATTAACCCTTAATTTTGTTAAGGACAAGGCTTGCCTCGGGCGAGTAGGACCGAGTTGGTCCAATCAAAAATGCATAAATAATCTCAATTATAAAATCTTAAAAATGATAAATAAATAAATTAGTGATACAAACTAAATTTATTTTCAAAAAAAATTATTATTCTTATTTATTATTTTTTTTTTTAATTTTATAATTACAAACTATGTATGTATTTGTAATTGGACTACATTAGAGACCAATAGGATGAGTTACTCATCGGTGAGTAGGCAAGACTTGTCCATTATCAAATGTTAATGAGAGGTAGATTGGTCCAATACACGAAGGGCATGTTTGGTGTGGTGGAATGAATTGGAATTGAATGAGAATGGAGGTGGGAATAGAATGAGAATGGAATGGAACGACAATAATGATTCTTATTCCACCGTTTGGTTGTAAACATGGAATGTGTAAAAATGAAATCTTATTCTCATTCCTATGTTTTGTAAGAAAGTTGGAATAGAATGAATTTATATTATTTCTTTAAATTACATTTTATTATTAGTAAAAAAAAATTAATTTGCAGAAATAAAAGGAAAAGAGATAATAGAGAGAGAAAAATAAACCAGATAGAGAGAGGGGGAACAAACAGCATATAGATACATATTATATATATATATATATATATATATATATATATAATTTTATATAGTGTGTGTATGCGTGAATTATCTCTTTAAATTATTTTATTACTTTATTAATTCTTAGTGGGAATGGAATGGTCATTTCACCTCTCAAGAAGTGGAATGGGCATTCCCTATGAATGGCCATTCCACTTTTAATGTTACACACCAAACAAGAGAATGGAAACAAATGCATTCCATTCCACCTTCATTTGATTCCATTCACTCACACCAAACATAGCCTAAGTTGTAAAGTTAAAAAGGTACACTAAATAGTTAAATGGTAAATTGGTCAATTTCTCAAATGATATGGCATATGGTTTTAGGAGTGTTTTTGTCCACATTTTCAAACTTCAAAAGTGTCAATTGAATTGAAATTTTTTTTTTTTTTAAATTATACAAAATTAGGGAAGTGATAAATATGAAAATCAGAGAGGTTGACTGAATTTATTAAAAAAAAAAAAAATTATACAAAATTAGTGATAAATAAGGAAATTAAATAGGGTAGGTGACTGAATTTATCCCAAAGGAAAATGATATTATTGACTACTTTAATACCCCGCCTTAAAATCGACTGAGATAAAATATGACGTGGTTTTCAACTTAAATATGTATTATTACTACTCTTATTTATTTCCATAAAATAAGTCTCTCTCTCCTTTCATATTTTTCTGTTTTTCATTACACCTTTCCTTTCCTTTCCTTTTTCGTTTTCCATTTGTGGTTGAATCAATTATTTTTTTCATTTTCACATCAAGTTTCATGGTGCTCAAATATAAAAATTTGATTTGTACAAAATTTACAACAAAAATTACAATGTTTTTTAACAATTTTTCAATACTTTGCAATTTTTTTTTTTTTTTTATTCCTCACCTTTTTTTTTTTTTTTTTTGTTTATGGGGTCAAATAAATCATTAGAACAATTAATAAATGCCTATAAAATAATTGATGTATATTAATAATCAAAGAGATAGTATGTTATTTCAAGAGTTCTAAAGAGATGCAATACAATGTATATATATAATAGATATAAAATTTGATATATATGGTGATTAAAACTTTAATTACAAAAATATATATATATATATATATATTAAATTAAGATGAAATCTAAAAAAGACTACAACTTTCTAAATACGTAATTACGTTATATTTTAACATGGGTCTCATAATATTTAACACATAAATAGCTACATAAACTCAATGAAGTAGTAGGTTTTTATTTGTCGGGCTAAATAGCAGAACTCTATTACAAAAAAAAAATTTATTGTCTCTTATTTTTTTTTATCACTTTCCTGATTTTGTAATTACATATATCAAGAAAGTGATAAATAAGAATAATATATATATATATTTTTAATAAATTGTGCATATGTGATTCGACCATCAACGTTAGTAGGGATGGGCAAGTCTTGTCCACTACATATTATTTGTACATTTATGATTGGATCACATCAACGATTAGTAAGAATGATTTACTCATTAGTGATTAGTCAAGTCTTCTCATATTTTTTTTATTGAGATAGATTAATTATGAATAGTACAATAAATAAATAAAAGTAAAATAGGAAACACTTGCAACACGTGCTTCAAAGCGCGTGAATTTGAAAATCACTCTTATCTTTTTGTGCTGTTTTGCTCAACGAAGGTCGTTAGGTTTTCCTTAGCTTTATAGTCCTTCCTCCATAAATTTGTTAGGTGAAACAATTACCCTATCTTACTCACTGGCATAGTTGGAAAGGATGATCTTGTGGTGGGTCCCATTTTGTAAGGTGATAGGAGGAGTAATTAGTGTTTGATTTTTAAAACATTTTTTAGTGTCATGATCAAGTACCAAAACTGCAATAACAATTAGTTTAAGAAAAAGACTAGGTCATTGGAGCCAAACCGAATTCTTCCGCCGAAGGTAAGGAATTGATATTTATTATTGAAAATTGTTTTATTAAATTATATATGTATATATCTATTGATCGGTCCATGAAATTGCATCGTGATATTCATATTTATAATTGAAAATTATTTTTATTAATGCATTATCATAAATTGTTTATGTTGGTGATAAAGAATCAATTTTTTATCGATATATAAATTAATTGAAAGAGGTATGGACTATTTTGTTAATTGATATTTGCTTTGTTTTATATGGTAGGCCTATCATCTAATAGCAGTTACTTTGGGTTAGGGGTGACTCGATCCCAGCTTGATTTTTTACGAGTTTGTGCAATTATTTTTACAATTAGGATTTGACTTAGGTTAAAAAATATAAACCCGAATTTAATTAGGTTTGAGTTTAGATTAAAGTGTTATAAATCCAAGCCAATCCGAACCTAAATTTTAATATTATTTTCATATATCTTTTTAAGTTAAAATGCATTATATATAATATTTAAATTATGATTACCTTTTTCTTTTCAATTTCTTTTGTTAAATCTCAACTTATTGTATGTTAACATTTAGGAGAAATAATTTTCTAAAAATTTGTTTGCAATTTATTAAAAATCTACAAAACGTCTTTAAGCTTTTTCTTGTTTAAGAGTAATTTATTTTAAAACTAATTCAAGATCATATTAAATTTTTGGTGTAAGGATTAGCTATATGAGTAACCCGAATTAACTCGAAATTTTTACCCGGAATCCAAACCTAGGTTGCAAGCTCGAATTTAAAAGTAGAATGATAGGTTGGGCTTAGGTTGAGTAGTTAAGGCCGACGACATGGTTAGGTTTGGGTTTAACATTTCATATGGGTAGGTTGGGCTCAAATTATACCTCAAATCCGCCTAAGTTACAGGCCTA